CATTTAACATGAAATAAACTTTACGTAAGTTATTATAACAGAAACATGTCTTAATTAGTCATAGTCTTAATTAGGATTTTTAATTATGAGTTCTGCTCCTCTCATAAATCTACCTTCCAACCCATCCTTTCACATAAAAAACAGTTTGATTTTTAGGTAGTGATGTTCGTAGGTCAGATAAATTTAAAAGACTCAAATTATACTGATTTGTATAAAATTTCTGCAAAAAAAAACATTCGTAGATTGAATATATTTTTTCCATTCGCAAAATACTCGTCTTTAATAATTTTCTGCATCAGGCATTATTACTTTTCCATATTCATAAAAAAATACTGATTGTTGAAGGAAAAATATTTATTAGAAGAGTGAATGTAGTTATCTACAACGTACCCATACCTAACAAATATTCAATTTTCAATATATTCAAATTACTGATTTCCAAATTACGAAATTATAAGTATACTACCATTTTTTTATGTAGGTAAGTAAAATTAAAAACTAATTGAGTGTTTACCAACTCTTAATAATCTAAATAAAAAACTTATTACATTTCTGCAAGGTGAAACATGTCAGTTACTTTTTAATTATCTCAGATTTATAACTCGAGTATTAAATTCAATAAAATATAAACATTTTACAATTTGGATATGGCAAACATTTTTATCATTGAATTTTCCGAACAGATGTATTCCTAATGAAGCTATCTACAAAATTAAAACGTATTATAGGCAGTGCAGCGTCTATAATAACCCCTGTAACTCGTATATTGACCAATATAATAAAATTTTAATTTATTTTTAATGGTGCATGAATTTGACGAGAAAATATTATATACCTATTATATGTATTCATCTTCATTTAATGGCCCGTCTAGTTTACCATTCATGAATTGTGATGTAATGACCGCTTCGGATTCATCAAAAGATTCAGTACTTTCATTTAAAGAAATTTATTTTATTTTCTTATATAGTATGGATATGCAGACTCAGACAGGGCCAGAGATTCTGAAGATAGAAAGTCTACTTCAGGGTAAGTTTCCATCCTTATTAATGCAGTAATCAGCTGGTATTCAAGAACTATCCACCACAGAAGCAAAATATATAGTTTTAAACTTGAAAGCCATTGATTTAAAAAAATAATAATGCTTATCGTCCCAGATACAAGCACCACTTTTCCATTGAGACAAGAATTTGGTGAAATAGAATTCAAAGTAGTTAGAATAAAGGTCGTGCTGGTTGATTCTTTAACTAAGGGATTATTAGTTGGTCTCGATATGATAAATTGGGGGTTAAAATGTATTACGTAGATTCTGTAACATCTTGTAAGACAGATACGATTGTTTACAAAATTTCTGAAGCCAAGACATACTCCCAATCTAAGCGTCCTTGGCAGAAATGCAATATTCTGACTGAACAGTGCAGCCAAGTTTGCTAGTAATGCATTCGTTTTCATATGAAATGTGAAATCTAACTACCTCGCAGTAAGAAAATCGATATTTATAGTAGTAGTAATCTGGTTATTAATTCATTCATTCTTTACTTTTAGAAAACAACGAATATCTGCTAAAAGACTAAATAAGAATAACAAATAATTAGCTGATAATTAGTTGATTAAATATATAAGCCCATGGATGTTTTCAATACAACAGCAGATTGATGACGAGCGGTCCGCTATGTTATGCCTTCATAGTTATACGTAATCGGTTCTCTCACTCCGATTTAGAGATGGAATGATTTAGGTTTTAGCTTCCCAACAAATACACTTTTATCAATGACTAGTTGGGGATGTGAGTATACCTACTTATTGTCGTTTACTTGATTTATCAAGTTGTCTTTAAGCATAAAAGTCTTTCATGATTATGTTTCTGGTTGTACCCTCTGCAAGCTTTCTAGTGGTGTTTCTAAGCGTTTAGGATCCTATAAAAAATACTTTACAATGACACAATTGGGGTTCAACAAAAAAATAACAGTAGCAACTCTTTATCTAACATTAAAACTATAAAAAAATTAATTTTCTTTTCTAGTAAGTTAAATTTAATATATAATTATTGTTGTTGGTAAGTCAGGATCTATGACAGATATTATTGAAACTTGTAATAAAATAAACTACATTCCATAAGATACATATTGTGACTAGTTTGCAATAAATATTATATTTAGACATAAATATATTATTTTACTTACATTAGAAGCTTTAAAAAGAAATTGAATTGATTTATCCTTGTGTTTTCTTTAGTTTTACATTTAATTTGTATCCTGTTTTACAATTTGGAACAACGTAAATCTTGCTTTGATGTTTTTTGTCACTCTTGTTACTTGTACTCAGGTACTTTTTTTTCACATTAATATGATTCTTTTCATCAATTTTTTAAAATATCACTTCATTTTACATTGACTTACATAGAAAATTGATACCGCTGTTATTCGACATGCCAACTACAGTCAATTTCGCGAAAATTTGACAATCCCCACATAGCACAGTCCCATGGACGTCCTGATTTGGTCCCGGACCTAAATAGGACGTCCACTGACTTTCGATTACCGTGAACACTAGGACGTCCTTCGAAGGACGTCCTATTTTTGTCCCGTTTCGGCAAAGCGTTTAGTTTTCTGTCCGAGTCCAGGACGTTAATGGGAGTCCATAGGACGTCTATGGGACTTTCTATGTACTTGGTCTTTCAATCGGTAACTTGAAATTCAACGTTTTGTTTTTGCAAGAGTATGAGGACAGAAAACCTTAACCTATTGTAAGGGGTTTTCTCGCCTCAGAGAAAACGATTACTTACAAATGACGCCTGTTGACGGGACGGCTCTCGGGCGCCAGATTTTATGTGTGGTTTACTCCACAAACTTTCGAAAGGAGATGAAAAATTCCAGGGATCGTTGGTCACTCAGACACAGGTAATAAGTAACCACAAGTAACGGGCTTTAATCGTTACTTGTGGTGATAAAGAATTTCTCACTGCTGAAATAAAGGGGGAAGTAAATTAGGGATCAGTAACCTCGGTAATAGTCAAGGTAACGTTGACACATATATTGAATTTAACTATTTACAATAAATAATTTGTAATATTTCAACGCCCACCCTCGCTCGTATTTTTAAAACCCTGAACAAAAAGAAAAACAAACAGATCGGCCAAAACAAAGATGCTCGGTGGCAATAGTAACTAATTAATAAATTGTCGGTTCGGTGGTTGAGCCAAAAGAAAACCACTATTTCAGTTAAAGAAGAAAAATGGCAAATAATTGCGGTCGTAGCAAAAGTTAGCTAGTTAACTGTTACATCGGCAAAAAGATTGAACTTAAATATTTTGTTTCGTAAAAGCAGAAATAAAATCACGGTCGTAGAAAAAGTTATCTGGTTAACTATCTAGTCGGTATTGAAACTGAAACAAACCTCCTAGTGTTAGTGAATAGGGAATAGATAAATGTGGTAAGAAAACGGGATAGTATCAATCCTATGAGGAGTGTACTCGCCAAAACCAGCCCGCTCAACATAAAAATGATACTATCATTTTAATCACGGGGCGGAGGTAACTAAAAAAAATAATCAAAAACCGGGTTAGTATTTATCCTATGATGAGTGTACTCGCCAAAACCAGCCCTCTCAAACATAAGAAAAACACTAATATGTTAATCACGGCTAGGGGTTAATCTAAAAAAAATATAATACCGGGATAGTATCTAATCCCATGTGAGCTTTCTCGCCAAAACCAGTCCACTCAACATGAATAATGATCTATTTCAACTTTCGAACTAATTCTATTCCCAAGTAAAGAAACATAAATGTAAAAAAAAAGTTAAACCAGATTGTGAATAAATAGAAACAAAATTTATGGTCGTAGTAAAAGTTAAGTAATTAACTATATACGGAATTTAATTTAAATTTATTATTACTTAAAAATAGAAACAACATCCACGGTCGTAATGAAAATTAAGTAATTAACTGTATACGGAATTTAATTTGAAATTAGGTTTACTATTATTCTAAAATAGAAACACAATCCACGGTCGCAATAAAAATTAAGTAATTAATAAAATAGAAACAAAATTTCTCCTTCCTAATAACCAAAACTAATTTCCAATGTTTCTAAATAAAATCAAAACTAAATAATTTATCTGAAAATCAAAATTTTTTTAACGAACATCTAAAGTCAATTATTATTTCTATTAAATAAAATCGAAAACGGAATAATTTAATCAAATAAAACTGGTATTCGAACGTTTAGCTCAAGAACCGACGACAGAAAAAAAAAACGTAAACATGAATTCGGTGTACCATGGGTGTACCTAACTACGGTCTCGGCAATGATTTTACGGCGTATAACGAAGCAGACTTAACGAGGTCGGAAAAATGAAATCAAGCTAGTCGAATGATTTTTTGAATGAATTGATTTTAATACTCAATGCTGAATCCCAGTCTCTATGCCCAAGCAGGCTGGCTCCCACTCGGTGTGCGCGGATCGCGCGCACTATCGTTACTCAGGTATAATACGCGAATTTAAATGAAACAAAATTTGATATACCTATGAAGTTAAAATAAAATAAAAATTAAAATTTATATCCGGAATAGGCCGAAATATAGTAATGAAAATTGACTTCATTACACTATCATTTATTTTCAAATGAACAACAGCTACAATTTTCGGCATTAAATAATAATTAACTTATATAAGTGAGTTATTAGATTAACGAAGAAAGAAGAAGGTTATATAGTGTTATTTGTTTGATGTTGGTGGTAAAGTGGTTATAAAGTGAAGTGAGTGTTTTGTGTTGAGGTGAGAATAAGTGATGTGTATTGGCTGTAGCCGCTGATGGAAAGAAAATACCTAAAAGGCGGAAAGTTGGAAAAAAACTAATTTTGACAAAATTATAATACTCAGTTATGTTGACACAAGCTATAAGTAGGACCCAAGGTTTCATCTTACCAGCGCTGTGTGTTAAATTTAATTCATTCATTCCTTTTTTTTTTCTAAACTGAAAACGTTTAACTCTAGCTAGTTTTTCAGGATAAAAGTTATTAAATTGTAACATTTTTGTTAATATTGCCATTTATGGATTATGGCCAAATGTCGTCTGATTTACGTCCCTAGGACGTCCCACGAAGGTCCATATGACGTCCTTTTGGGATGTCCCAGCGAGGTCCCTAAGATGGACGGAAACGGGACATTAGGACGTCCGATTGACGTCCCGGTACCAAAAGAGGACGTCCCTCGGACGTCCTTTATGTCACTGAAGGACGTCTTTGCTATATGGGTTGCCGATTGGCCTCAATTGGCCTCCTTCTCTCTAGTCTTCATAGTCTAGAGCTTCAGTGATTTTATGCACAAAAAGGTACTAGAAAATTGTTATATATTTTATTTATTTTTCTTTTCAATTTTATTTACTGATAATATATCGTTGATACTGCAATACGTGCTATATAAAAAAATTAACAATTCACTTTATTGTTTGTAAATATGCAACCAACTGTGCTCCATGCATTGTAGTATACAAAAATGTATTAATATCTGGCAATATGATCTATATATATATATAGAAATTCTTATGTAGTATTTAATAGCATTTTATAGTTTCCTGTTGCCAGTACCAAGGACGTATCATTTTAATACCATACCTCCTATGTGACAATGTAGGTAAATTTGGAATTTTCAATATCTATCAAATAAAAAAAATACCTTATATGTGTATAAAATTCTAGATACTACAAAATAATTTCGACTCCAGGTTTTTGTAACAGCCTCTGTTTGATACCATTATGCTAATTTACTTAGTTTATAAATTCTGCACATATCAAGTATTAAACATGTATTAAAACGAAAACAATGATATTATAAATAGAAGTTATCCTTCTTTTCAAGGTTTGTACTGAGATGACAAAAATATAAAAAAAACCGGATGAGACTATCCTGAGCCATCATGTATAAAGTACATTATGTATACATTTTATTCAATATTTATATTGTAGATGAATAAATTCCATTTCAATCTTTCAATAATAGGTTTTATTTAATACCACTAAGCAATACCTTCCCTTTCCTACACAAGCTGTCAGATTCAGAGGTTGAAATTCACTTGCAAGGGGGTGAACTCAATTAAAAGGCTGTATCTACAAACAACATAAATCTGAGAAAATGGGGTTTAAAGTTTATTGCTTGGACTCTTTTTTTCTCTCTTTTATTTAATTAAAAAATGTGCTATAGTAATTAGAATAAAACTCAAAATATGTAATACTAAAAAAATTGGTTTACCTAACCTAGTTTTTTCAAAAAAGCACTTACAGCATTTTCATTAAGCACTGGCAATTAAGAAATTGACACGATTTTGCAGATACGGCAGTGTTTTAAGTATTTTTTCCAGTTAATTGTTCAGATACGCCATTGTCAGGTTGTATTATTATAGAATATCATTACAATACATATTGTAAAAATCTCGTTTTTTTATTTTTGTAGATATGGCCTTTTAGTTGAGGAAGGAAGAATTAATATAGTTTTAAATAACAAGTTTGCAATAATCTTAGTTTCATATATTGCTTATTAATTAGACATATCTTGCTATCCCTTGAATTTTATTATGAAGAGAATCTGCAATATATTTTAATACAAATTTTTAGATTAAATTTGTATACCTAACAAAAATTAGTCATTTTGTTCATATTTTGACTGAAACTCTATCTTTTAAATAGCAGAAATTATTAATAAATAAATATTACTTTAAGGGCAGGTATATTTTACATTTTAATAGTTGCACACTCATCATTCTAAAATCACAGATTTTCATAATTTTATTACTATTTATTTCCTACTCATATGATTACTATTTTGAAACTCTGGTCTCCAAATGAAGTCCATGTAGCTTAGACATTTCATCTTTTAAAGTTTCATAAACTATTCGATGTTGTTTCATTATTGACAGTCCTTTAAATTCTGCAGTTTCAACACTGACATTAAACATTGCCCCGCAACCCCCAGATGTATCTTCAACATTTACGCTAGCAGCATTTGGAAACCTTAATTTAAGTTTTTCCAATATTTGTTTTTCTGTAATAGGTGCATTACTATCACTGCTGTAATTTTTCGTACATATCTGAAAGTTGTAAAAATGAATTTAGGTATTAAAAAAAAATTATAATATTACTTGACTATATCGAATGTTCCGCCTCGGGATTAGCTGTTTTATTATTTTTAACATTTTATTTTTATATTTTTTTGAAAAGAAAAAATTCTATTCTAACCTAAAAAATAATTCTTCTTCTTTAACAATTCTCACGTGGTATCTACTTTGAAGTTAAAAGAATTTCGCTGAAGTACTGAATAAGAGTAGGAGCAATTTTTTTGACTGACATGTTTGACAGTTATTTGACATTGATTTTTTTAGGTTGTGAATCTGACAACGGGTGAGACGTGTCAATTTGTAATTTTCTTTTCAAGTGTCTAAAATTCAATATTTAAAATGAAATTAATTATATTGTCACTATTTTCCATTTTCGCAACAACTTTTGCACAAGGACCTACCTTAGTTCTACTCGATAATCAAGTTATAAAAGAAACACATTCAATATTCTTCAAATCCTTACAAGGTATGTTTCACATTAAGGTTATATTTACCGGTAATTTAATTGCTTTTTATTTTTTAGATAGGGGCTACACCCTCACTTTTAAGATCGCCGATGATGCCTCCTTAGTTTTATCTCGATATGGAGAGTACTTATATAAAAATTTGATCATTTTTGCTCCAACAGTAGAAGAATTCGGAGGTAATCTCAATGTGGAGATTATTACTCAATTTGTGGATGAGGGAGGCAATGTCTTAGTAGCTGGTAGCAGTGTAACTGGGGATGTTTTAAGAGAGCTTGCCTCAGAATGTGGATTTGAGGTATTTATTTTGTTTTTACGAAAAAAAAATTTTCTAAGCTATATTTTAACTGATCTTTAGGTAGACGACGAGGGAGCTTTTGTAATTGACCATCTCAATTATGACATCACTGATGAAGGACAACATACCAAATTAGTAGTATCTTCTGAAAATCTTATTGATGCTCCTGTAATAGTGGGTCCCAAAAAAGGAATTGCACCCATGTTATACCAAGGTACTGGAATATTAACAGATGTTGAAAATCCATTGGTATTACCTTTGTTGACTGCTGATAGTACAGCATACAGTTTTAATCCAGATCAACCAATCAAAGAGGTAAAATCTTCATTTGTTAGATCAATATTTTATCTTATACATTTGTTCACATTCTTTTAGTATCCTCATGCTGTTGGAAGAGATACAGTACTAATTGCTGGCCTTCAAGCTAGAAATAATGCAAGGGTTGTATTTAGTGGATCTTTGGCATTTTTCTCTGATGAATTCTTTACTGCAGCTACTCAAAAGGCTCAAGTAAGTATTTGAATTTATAATAATATAAAATTTTTGGTAATATATTTTTGACTTATATATTTCTTGTGGAAGACCATGTATATTTTGAGATATTCATTTCTATTTTTAACAGACTTTAAAAAAGGAGGAGGTTCTCAATTCCTCGCAATATATATATTTTTTTTATGTATGTTCAGCAATAATTCTTTAACATGGTATCTGATTTCAATGATTATTTTTGTTAGAAAGGGGGTACTTCAGGGGTGGTCCCATTTAAATTTGGTCAAAATTGGGTCCATGAGAAAATCCTCACTCTTAATTTTTTATGTATATTTAGCGATAATGCTTTACCACCTTGTCTGATTTATGTGATTCTTTTTTTGTTAGTAAGGGGGTACCTCAGGGGTGGTCCCATATAAATTTGGTTAAGATGTGGTGATGGCATCTGCACGTTTTTGAAGTCAGTTTATTTAAATTTTTAATTTCTAATAATTGTTAAAAATGTAGCATTTAAAAATGCTTGGACCAAAAAAAGTTTGTAGATTGTAACAGAAATGAGCATAATTTAAAAAATATATATTTATTTAATTTATATAGCCTCTTAACATATTTTGACATGTGTATTTATAGGGAGGGGAATCTTCAATGAAATCTGGAAATGAAGATGTAGCAATAACTATTAGTCAATGGGTATTCAAAGAACATGGACAACTTAGAGTAAGATCTGTTAAACATCACAAAGAAGGAGAAAAGGAGGCTCCCAAGGATTATACAATTATGGATGATGTTGTAAGTATAAAAAATCCTAATAGTTTATTTTTTCTTAACTGATCACTAAAATTTCAATTTTTATAGGTTTACACCATTGAGATTGACATTCTAGAAAAAGGCCAATGGAAACCATTTACTGCAAAGGATATCCAACTAGAATTTGTTCGTATCGATCCATTCGTCCGCACTACCCTTAAGAGAAACCCATCAGGACAGTATGAAGCAAAATTCAAGATTCCTGATGTATATGGAGTGTATCAGTTCAAGGTGGATTATGACAGAGTTGGATATACTCGACTTTTTAGTACCACTCAAGTGTCTGTCCGTCCTTTACAGCACACCCAGTATGAGAGATTTATCACTAGTGCTTATCCTTACTATACAGGGGCATTTTCTATGATGTTGGGTGTATTTGTGTTCTCATTTGTATTTCTACACTTGAAAGATGATGACAAGAAGTCAAAGAGTGAATAAAATTTTGATATTTTTTGTTTAATAATTAAGTTTATTAATTAGTTCATTTTTCAATGTTTTTGTTTAATAAAATCATTAAGAGGACGTCTTTATTTTTATATTATTTGTGGATTTACTTTTGAATGAAGTTATTTCATTTGAGCATTAAAAGAATAATTTTGCATAAATTTTTTTTGCGATATAAACATTAAATATATTATTGAATACTGTGTTCTTTAATTTTGCTTCATCTTGAAAATGCACATCAATATTTAATGATTTTTAGGCTAATTATTGCAAAACATTTTTAGGAATGTTACTCTTTTAATGTTCAAATAGGGTAAAGTTGAATAATGAAGGTTAATTTTTATAAAAGCTTCAAATGAAAAATTCTCATATTATTGAAATTATTTTCCTTACTAGTTTGTTGAATAAAAATAAGAAAAAGAAGAAAATTAACAATTATAATATTTATTTGAAAAAATAAGTCTTCAATTTAACTATTCTGTTCTTTTTTCCTAACATTTTAAAAATTCGGGAATTATTTCTGAATCATTTGTAGGAATAGCTTTTAAAAAATGTAGGTAATCAGTCGGCAGCCCAGTTTCCTCTGCTCCTTTTATAATAGTGTTTAAATATGATTTTGAAGGTTTTCGTACATCAGGTAATTTGGTTAAATTGATATATTCGAATCTTTGTACTTGTTGGTACGTTCTGCATTTCAGTTTTGTTCCATTAGATGTTTCAATTTCCACAGAAAGAGGATAGTAAAAATTTTCATGAACGCCTTCTTGTCTGAAAAAGAAAAAAAAATATCAGTTTATTTACTTGATTTTAAAATATCTGGCTTATACAGTGCTGGTGAGATCAAACCTTGAAGTGAATAATAAATGGTGTTTGCATTGCTACTGTAAGGTGACTGGTAATCTAGATACTATTGAGGTGACCAATCATCGTCCTTTAGGGAGGACAGTCCTTTTTTAGGTTCTTGTCCTTACTCGAAAAGGGTCCTCTGTTTCGATCTCTGTATGTTGCTACTCTAGCTGTAGCGCTTACCAATTTTTGACTCCGAAATTTCCATTTTATCACTATTATTTTCCTTTTTTTCTCTCTCTCTCTCTTCAATGAATCAAATCGTCACTACTGCAAATAGAATTCGTCGAAAAATCTCCATGAATTCGATTTGTCCTGCTTTCTACTTTTCAAAATATGGTCTTATTACTATATCATTTCTTCTGCACAAGTGAACCCATTTGAAGGGTGCAGGGAAAAAAGGGGCCAATTACCACAATGTTCAGGAAAGTTTGAATACTGACTATATACAAACTTTTGATACTTTGAGGTAATTGATTACAAAAAGATGTTACTTTGTATATTGCTGTCTGATTATAATTTAATTTATCGCTTAATTTACTACAGTTGTTATTTTTTAATCTTAAAACTGAAAATGCCAAGTAAACAGTAAAAAGTCTGTGGATGCATACTTTTAAATGCAGTTTTATGCACTTCTTAACTCTTTATTTGGCTTATTACATGAAAGCAAACATGAATTTTACAGAAGATTGTAGTACCAGTTCAATTTTGATAAAAATGTGAAGGTCCCTTTTTTCCTGTGCCCTTTAATTTAGTATGCAGTTAACAAAATTAAAGCGGCCCCGAATGTTTACTATGCCAGCACTGCATATCTGATATAAACAAAAATATCCTAATGACGACTTGTTTCTGCCTTAGACCATTGATTTTGAAGTAAAAATTTTTGTTACTAATTTCTCTTGTATAGATCGATAGGAATAACAAAAGCTGCCAGATATGTTACAGTAAGAGTCCGTTTACATGAGATAGTAACTTGTGGGAGTAACTTGCTATAGTGTTTATATATGTATAAGCAAATTTTAAATCAATTTATTTCAGGAAGTGGTCTGCAGATATTACTTGCTGCAGCCTTCCAGAAAATGATTATACAGGAGTTTACATGAAGTATATTCAAGCTAGACATACAATGGAAAAATGTCTATAGAATGAGGTTGGCAGATGCTGCTATCATTCTAATTTTACGAAAATAACGAAGATAAAGTCTTCAACTCTATTGAGCTGCGGCTGATGTGGCAAAAGTTATTCAATGTTGGAGTTAGCTCCAGAACTACAGTACTTATTATTTTGTATTAGGCATAGCCGTGCTTCGATATCCCCGCTACCGCTATGCTCTCTAGCTTCGTACCTCACATTCAGTTCAGTTAACATCCCACCACGACTGGCTATTGCCCTGTTGCCATTTTATTAACTTGTATACTATAGTCGTATGCCTAACACGGAAAAATAAGCACTGTATCGCTACTAAGAAACATCTATAAAGCAACTAAAATATAAAAATATGTGCAACAAATGCATTAGACATGTCTACAAGGGTACTTATTCAGGGTGATCCATTGAGTCATTTGCTATTTAGTCTATTTTTATTTGACATAGTTATTCTTTTTAACAAAGGAGCTAAGGGAATTAGCAGTAATAGCACAACAGATTTATTAATGCTGATGAGATTAAAATTAATAGACATTTGAAAATTCTGAAAAAATTAAATGTTTTTCCTATAGTTGTTCTTACAACAGATTGAGAGTAAACAGTTTTTTGTATTTTAGTTCAGCAAAATTAGCGACACATTATTTATGGTATAGTTTTTGTAACTCAAAACGCACGTGTTCAGTATTTTGGTTGAGATGGCATACCATTAGTAATCTAAGGATGGCATGTTATGCTATCTTAGACGAATCGTTTTTAAACAAAATTTCCATCATTTTTTTTAGCAAAGTTCGTTATTAAAGAAAATCTGACGGGCAAAAATGGACAGAAGATATGAAAAACACATTTAAAGCTGTTCAAGAACGACAAATAGGATGACTGTTAGCATCAAAGGGTCACCCTGTCAGTATTAGTAATCATTACTAGGCAACCCAGCTATTCAACAACGCATATATACATCAAGGCAGCTAGTTTAAAAACTGCACAAAATCCTTTTAGAGTTGTGGTTCCTTTGGCATCATACAAAAATTTCAAAAAATTAACTAATCGATATATTTTGAATTTGAAAAAAAATATATAAATCTTCCGCTTCACTTCTTTCTTTAGCTTTCTGCTGTAAGTCCTGACTTTCTATACCTCCTATTCTCCTGCCTGCTCTCCTCTTGCTGTTTTCTCCTCTGCATTCTCCTGCTGAACTCTCTGCTATTCAATTTACATAAAACTTCCTTTATCTTTCTTTTTGTATATATTTTTTTATTTCTTCTCTATGATATAAATTCTTAAAATAGATCCTTCTTAACTTCAATATAATATTTTCTAACTGACAATTCTAAAATCTCTGACAAACTCCTCAAAATTCCATTAATTTTCATAATTCCACTACTATCGCGTCACAACCCTAAAGAAATTCCGAATAACTTATTGACGACAACGATACAAGACTGAGAACATATGTCCAATGACGAAATCATGACAATATACGCGTGTATATAGGTTTTAAAATATGTGACTCTCCTTTTGAGTATTCTCTTATCTGTACCTCTGCTCCTACCGAATACCTTTATTATTACTTTAAAATGACAAAGTTAGGTGTACACTCTCGTTTTTGTTTGTTACTGTGATTACTTTTTTCCAAACTTGAGTCACTTATACTAGAATTATTTAAAATATTCATACTCGTTACTCAAATTTTTCACGAGTACTCTCTAAAATTTGCAAAAGTACTCATTTACTATGAGTATTATTCGAGTACTTTGTAAAACTACTCATTACTCATGAGTAGTTTAATGTAGTACTCTGCCTAGCTCTGTCTCATGCAGACTTAAACATTGGATAGTTTTTCTTGCTCATGTAAATGACTCTTTAGATGAATAAGCGTGTATTGTATATGGCCACATATATGACCTTGGTTTCAGCTATTCCTGCCGTGCTGTACATACAATTAAAAAATAATTCCTTCAGTGGTGTAAAAGTTGTTCCTGGTCCCGCGCCTCTGGTTTTTAAAATATATTTGTCTCATGAAGTGTTAATTCACTGCGACCTAAAAGATATATTGTGCCACCGTCTGTCGCTATAAGGCAGCAAGGGAACAGATCGATGTCTATAACTACCCTTACAATCCTATCTTCCCAAGGAAATGTAGGATTTGGAGTGGCTCTAAAGCTACTACTTCCTTAAAAAGCAAATTGTTCACTAAATTTTAAAAATTATCTACAACCAATTTTGATTACCGCTAATTTTTTTGCATTTTAAAATTTCAACACCTTGTATGTCTAAAACTATGCCCTTGAACGGTTTATTTTCTATATCAATTTTTTTATCAATTAACGAGTTCTCAGCTGCAGTGTTGTCGGTCAAATACCTATTGTAACACCATCTATCGCAAAGCCCAGTTATACAATTCTTTAGTTAATTTCAAAGAACCATAAAAACAGACATTTTTAATATGACAAACTTCCTTGCACAAAATAGTGTATAACTGGTTGCATATGCACGAAAAATTATTTTCAAATTGGGCAAAAATCATTGACTGCGACTTCAATAAGTTCTCAAACTACTAACTAGCCAGGCATTATGAAAGCGATTAAAACAAATACCTACGTCTTTTTAATTTTCTTAAAGTTTTATCAACCATATTTAGAAATTTAAAGATATATCTAATTTTTTTTATAAACTTTTTTTTGTTGTATAGAAAGGAAATAAAAGAAAATTTATAAATAATTTTTTATTACATAAATATACAAAAATTAGAGTATAACATAAATAAATCAGTCTTTTATAACAAATACTTTACAAAAAAATATTTTCATTTAATCAACTTCCTCAATGGTAGGTCCACTTGGTCTTCCTCCAAATCCACCTGCTTGTTGACCACAACTCTCAGGCATACCATTTCCAGATTGGTTAGGTTGACCACTTTGGTATAATTTCGCCATAATTGGACTGCACACCTTGGTCAGCTCTTTATGTTTTTCCTCATACTCTTCCTTTTCTGCCAAAGAATTGTTGTCTAACCATTTCAAACAGCTGTCGCATTCTCTTTCAATTTTAGATTTGTCATCTGATGACAACTTGTCACCACAATCTTGAATAGCTTGCTTTAATTGGAAAACATAGCCCTCCAGTTGGTTTCTAGCAGCGATTTTCTGTCTTTGGCATTCATCTTCTTCCTTATATTTCTCAGCTTCAGATACCATTCTATCAATATCTTTCTGTGACAGACGTCCCTTATCATTTTTGATAGTGATGTTGCGTGAGTTTCCAGAGCTTGTATCTTTGGCAGAAACGTTGAGTATTCCATTGGCATCTAAGTCAAAGGTAACTTCAATTTTTGGAACACCACGAGCTGCTGGTGGAATACCAGTTAAATCAAATGTTCCTAAGAGATTATTATCCTTTGTCATAGCTCGTTCACCTTCAAACACTTGGATTGTTACTGCTGGTTGGTTATCAGCATAAGTGGTAAATGTTTGAGTTTGCTTGCATGGGATTCTAGCATTTCGTTCAATAATTTTCGTCATCACACCACCAGCTGTTTCAATACCCAATGATAAAGGAGTTACGTCAACTAGTAGTACATCTTGAATCTTGGAATCAGTTTCACCACTTAGGACAGCTGCCTGAACTGCTGCTCCATAAGCCACAGCTTCATCTGGGTTGATAGACAGATTCAAAGACTTTCCGCTGAAATAATTTTGCAAAAGTTGTTGAATTTTCGGAATTCTTGTTGAACCTCCAACCAAAACTACATCATGAATTTGTCCCTTATCCATTTTTGCATCATTTAAAGCTTTTTCGACAGGCTGAAGAGTCCCTCTAAATAAATCTGAGCATAATTCTTCAAATCGGGCTCTGCTAATCTTTGTATAGAAATCAATACCTTCATAAAGAGCATCTATTTCAATTGTAGCTTCAGAACTAGACGATAGTGTTCGTTTTGCTCTTTCGGCAGCTGTTCTTAATCTTCGCAAAGCTCGTGGATTACTCTGTAGATCTTTTTTATATTTTCTCTTGAATTCGTCAGAGAAATGATTAACCAGTCTGTTATCAAAATCTTCTCCTCCTAGGTGGGTATCCCCTGCAGTGGCCCTAACTTCAAATAACGAACCTTCATCTATGGTTAGAATGGATACATCAAAAGTACCTCCTCCTAAGTCAAAAATAAGTACATTTCTTTCACCTTTTAAGTTCTTGTCTAATCCATAAGCTAGAGCTGCTGCAGTCGGTTCATTTACAATTCTTAATACGTTAAGACCAGCAATAACACCTGCATCTTTAGTGGCTTGCCTTTGGGAATCATTAAAGTAGGCTGGCACAGTAATTACAGCATCTTTTACAGTAGTTCCTAAGTATGCCTCGGCTATTTCTTTCATTTTAGTTAGAACCATCGAACTGATTTCTTCCGGAGCAAATGTTTTCTTTTCTCCTTTGTATTCTACTTTAATTTTCGGTTTACCACCATCATTAATAACTTTAAATGGCCAATGTTTGATGTCTTGTTGGATTTTTTGATCATCATATTTTCTACCAATCAGTCGTTTGGCATCAAAAACTGTATTACTGGGGTTCATCGCTACCTGATTTTTTGCAGCATCCCCGAGAAGACGTTCTGTATCGGAGAAAGCAACATAACTTGGTGTTGTTCTGTTACCTTGATCGTTTGCAATAATCTCCACTTTTCCATGCTGCCACACACCAACGCAGGAGTATGTAGTTCCCAGGTCGATTCCAATTGCTGGAGCTTTCACCATTATAACGATGTTAAATTTACTTTTTCACACAAAAATACTTTTTTCACTTTACTAGAATTCGTAGATTCACTTTAAAATAAATCGCTTTATTTACTCTTTGATTTCGTGTTTATACGTTGCTATATTTGAATGTACTGAAGTCCCGCCAACTTGATTCGCTTTTATATAAACGGCAAAATTTTCTCGAATCTTCTCGAAAAGTCTATCGAATATTCCCGAATCGACGTTTAGATCTGCGTTGTGTGACTTGACAAACGGGTGGGTATAAACTGGCCAAATCTTATTAAAATTAATATTTAACAAAATTTGGTATGTAAAATAATAATTATTGTGAATTTAATTTAAATACTAAGGGTTAATAGATATATATTACCCAAAATTATGGTATTTTATTAATGAAAAATGATATATTATACAGGGTATTTCAGAATAAAGTACCGTAAACTGGGGATTTGTAGATCTTAACTAATTATTTTAAGGAAAGCGTAAGTGTCTAGGCCGCTGGCAATCATTTTCGATCAATTTTATGGTAGAGAGACACCCGGCTTCAAATCCTACGGAAAGCCATGTGAATTTATTTGTATGGTTCTCTCTATAGAATTTAATGGATGCCGAATTAGCAGAAATTTAATTTCTGTTGATATGACATCCAGATTATAAAATCGCCATGCGTTACCGTTTTGATGATGGTGGGTGGGGTTTTTCGGGGTTTTCTCACCTGTAAGTCAAATGGCACCATCAATTATCTTTAAGTCGCTCCGGAGCGCCACGGAAAAATAATAATAGTAGTCGTTCCTTCCCCTACACAAGTCTCTAAGTCGGCTTCAGGGGTTGAAATTCATTCGTAAGGGGGTGCATTAGGAAGAGTGTTAATAGAGAGTTAAAGTATTTTCTGTAAGTAAAACGTTAACGTAGACGAAAATGTACAAAAATGACGTTTACGTCGAGGTTCAAAATATGAGTTCAAGTTTTTAAATGTATCGTGACATTTACGTGTCACTGTATTGATGAACAGTAAAAGAGAAAAATACTATGTCAAAAAGAACCAAAAAATAACATATACATGTATTAAATTAATTTCTTTTTGTATATGTGTGTATAAATACGCAATTTACACAATATAAGAAAAAATCTGATGTGTCCAACACATAACTTTCCTATCTAGTTATTATAGGCTTTTTCCGGTTATTTTGTACAACCTATTGCAGCACCTCTATAAATGTTTAGAGGATAAACTAAATATATACATTTTCCACATACATCTACCTCGAAACATTTTTCTATAGATATTCATTGAAAACGAAAATACTGAAAAATTTAAATTTAGCACTTTTCCTCCAATTTTTCCATTACGGTCCATTTTAGAAAAATCATGTATTAACAAAAATTAAAGAGATCGATATCGCAAACAACTTTTAATTCAACAATTTTCTAAAAAATCAGAATTTTGCACATTTTATCAAATTTCTCGAATACGGACCATTTCAAGAAAATTTGACATTAAACAAAAATTATAGATAATAATATTAGAAGTAACTTTTATTTGAACAATTTTCTTCTCCAAACATAAATAACAGATATATTCCATAAAATATAAAAACGGCCTCCCATAAAGTACGGTCCATTTTAGAGAAATTATGTAACAACTTTTATTTTAACAATTTTTATAAAAAAATTTTTTTTTTACATTTTGTCAAATTTCTAGAATAGGGACCAGTTTAGGAAATTTTTGTGTGGAACAAAAAATAAAAAATATTGATAATAATATTGTAAGTAACTTTTATTTAAAGAATTTTCTTCTCCAATTGTAAATAACAGATATATTCCATAAAATATAAAAATGATTAAAAATCCGTCGAAAACTCGAGGTCGAAAAAAAATCATGATTCCTATACTTTCCTTATCTGTATACAGATAGGAAAGTAAAATTAATTCTACCACCTAGATACTGTCAAAGTAAATAGTTATACTTTTTGGACCATTATTTTTACAAATGTTTAACAAAAATTTGTTGTTCAGACGTTGAATTGTTGCAGGACGACGATGATACAATTTTAAACATAACTATTCAATGCAATTTTTCAATGTATTTTGCATGGAGAAAAGATAAATAATATTTTCAGTTATGATAAAAAATGACAATTAGGATTTATGATTTCGTCTTTTCTAATAAAAAAATAGGTTAAATGTTTGAGTTACTGGATACTCCAGAGCCCGTAATGTTACGTAAGTATAACCGTAAACATGAACGTAAAGGATAATTTAAATGCGCATGCGTAGCTGTCAATTCTCACGTTAACGTTTACATTTATAGCATCACTTCAACTCTATTATTATAATTTTCCTGTGAACGCCTGTTTTCATTCTACAGGGTGATGAAATAAATACATAATTTTCTAAATATCTTTCCTTACAGTATACCTATTTCGATAAATTACGATAACCCATTGGGGAATCAAGGACTGAGAAAACAATTTTAATCCAAACTTTTGGAACACCCTATATTTCATAAAAGCTGAGATTATTAATTATTCCTTATGCAATTTGTTACAAAAAAAAAGAATCTTGGGTGATCCCTGTAGAACATTCCATTTTCGAGTTTTTTCAGTTTTAGTCCTAATCAAACATGAAATCTTTGTACATTAAAAAAATGCAAATAATTTGTATTAAGGGCTGATTTAATAATTAATATTAAAATCTCTATTAACTAATGGGACCATTAAGTCCATAATATCTTGGTCCCATTAGATAATGCACCTTTTATTATTCATTATGAAATCGGCTCTTGATAAAATTGTACATAGAATTTATGTATGAGTAGTACTAAAACTGAAAAATCTCGAAAATGGAATGTTCTACAGAGATCAACTAAGAGCCCGTTTTGTGACAAATTGCGTGAGAAATACTTATTACTCTTATATATATATCTTATATATATGAAATATAGGGTGTTCAAAAAGTTTGGATGAAAATTGTTTTCATAACCCTTGATTCTACGCCAATGGGCTATCGTAATTTATCGAAATAAAGTGTGTTAACTAATAAAGACGATTAACTGACATATACATATTTTTAAGTTAAAATATTTACCGCAAGGGAAGATATTTATAAAATAATGTATTTATGAAATTTACTTTATCACCCTGTAGAATGAAAACTGATACGTTTACAGGAAAATTATATTTAATTTTTCTTATTAATAATAATTAGTTAAGATCTACAAGTCTGTCTACGGTACTTTATTCTATATACTTTTGAGATGTAATTTAAATAAATATGTGGAATAATAGGAGCATTTTATTTTATTGTAAAATTATTTATAATATTAAATTAAGGGCGAGGGTAGCCATATGTGAGTGGTTGAGATTGATTACGAAGGTAGAAAAGAAAAGGAAATAATAGAGAGAAACAGAATATACATCGCCGACAGGCGGATCGCAATATACATGTAATATCTCATAATTGCCATCGATAGGGTGTGGTCAACCCTCCAGTCAAGGCGCCCTAACGGCTCTCTGGGGCACCTGGTGAAAAACTATTTTGGTGATATATTTTTATTAATGCGACATATCTATGTGGGAGAAACAACCTTTATTTATAATAATAACACAAAAACTTATTAAAACCAAATACATAAATTACCTACAGAAACAAAACATTGCAGAAAAATAACATTTTTAAAAATGTGAACACAACAAAAATACCAGAAAAAGAAATGATTTCTTAAACGAGTTAATATATTAACAAAAGTTCATGCACGCTTATTGATTTTTTGAAATATTGGAGCATTGTGAACACCAAGCTTTAAGGTGGCTTAAACAGACACATTTTTGACATTTTGGCAATCATAGTTTTTAAGTCTTTTTGGCAAAAATAACGTTTTTTAAATTCTGGTTAAATTTCTGCGTACCCTAAGCTTCTTGTCTTCCTTCTCTTTCACTGACGGTAGTACATTCATTTTGAGGGAACGTAGCTCTAAATGATCTATAGACAGTGATAGTGTCAGATCGCTAAAGCGTGGATAATTTGACGTGTTAGCACCCGCCATATTCATTATGGAAAAAAATACCAAGAGCCATTTCTGAGTGTTTCTTACCAAAAAAAGTAAATCAAATTAGTAACTTAAAGCGGGGCGACGGGTCTCACAGACTTTTCACGTTATAACTATCCATTCAAAAACAGTCTACTCTCGCTACTTGCTTAGAGTTGCCAGACGTCACACTTTAGGCGTATTTTTCACGCTTTTTGTCTTGCTTGTACGCTCAAAGCCACAGTACGAAAATGTCCCGCTTTTGACAAAAATGCCGCTCTTTTTCTGCAAATACCACGCTTTTTAATATTCAAAGCCGTAAATAAAAAGAAGGAACTGAATTTATAAAAAAATATAAGATGAAGAATTTTTTTTAGAAAAATATCGGCTAAAGGACCCTCTCGTTTACGAAAAATACAAGCGCTGAGGACCGTTGTTTTAGAAATTTCACGGACCTGATTATATAAAAATTCCTGGTATTTGAACCTGATGCTCTGTCGTCACAGTTGTCACGCTTTTCACTTTCGAAATTCTGGCAACCCTATACCTGCTACATGTGCACTAACAACCAAGTACCTGAATGTATGGCTCTGCAACAGATATTTGTCAAATACGACGAACATTTTTTGGAACGCCAAGTCTCCCAGACCCGCGGAGCCCGACTGGAGGGTTAAATCAATTACTCTCTTTAATCCCCTCACGTCCAAATATAATTAAGCGTTTCATCTAATTATGCAGGACGGCTGTGTTAACGCACTGTATATTATTCTGTATAAGTTTTGCAAATTAATAAATAAATTTATTATAACATGCGCACAAGCGTTAGAAGAATTTCAGTTCTTCAACTCGTCCACTTAGAATAATAAAGTTCTAACTGGACATACATCCATTTTGAGAAATTAAATGTTAAAGTTTGCGCATCTAATAATTAGTAAAACATTAATGTTATTAAATCGGGATAATTTTTATATTTCCAAAGTTTTCTTATATTATCATTTAATTCTTAAATATAATGGATTGGACTTTACCTAAACCTCGAATTTGTAAGTTATAAATGAAGATAGAACCTTGTGAACTTATTTTTTCAGAAATATTTAACTGAACATGGTTCTAACTGTCACTTACAACTTTGTCAGGTTAGAGAAAGTCTGTGTATAATAAGTCATGGTATTAAAACAAAGTTCTATGTGAATATTTTTAAAGAATTTATTTAATTTTTAATCAAAATAAATTCACTAAAAAAATACTGATTAAAACTAATCAAAGTAAAGTAACTACATAATTAATTAAACGAAATAATTGAACATTAAGTAATGAAAATTATAAATGTAATAGTGCTTTATAATAATCTTGGTCAATTTGCGGCATTGACGGCATCATTTTTTTTAAAGCATTAATTTTTTCTTTGGAGATTTCTTTCTTGCTTGAGAGTATTTTTGGTATTAAATTTGCAATTTCAGGAGGGGATTTTACTTCCGCAAATTTTTTGGTTCTACGGCGTGGGAGAGCAGGAACAGCAGGACTTATCGAAACCTTAATAAACTCATTATTTGTGTGACTTCTTTTAAAACGTACTTCTGTTAGATCAGATTTGGAAAATTGCATAGTATAAACTTTTGTAAATGGTATGTTATCATATTTCAGTTGTTTAGAACACTCCTCATAGTTCATAAAATCTGATTCTTTCATCTGAATGATAACAAATGGATTTTTTTTATTCACCTGCTTAAGTTCCTTTATGAACCCCAAAGGTGAAAAAAATTCTATTTGTGACATGTGCCTCTCAATTTGGCTGTGAATATTATCTACCTCCTGTACAGCACCATGTCCAGGAACGGAATATTTCATAGTTAAACAGTCAAGATCTGGGTGATTTCTAAGTAAATCTAAAACGCAAAAAGCTATGTGGGAATTGCGATTTTGGGGAACGCAGCTATCACTCCAAGTAATAAGTACATTAAAATGGTTATCTTCTAGAACCTTCTCAATAATTTTTCTAAAGGCACTAGCCAGGCAATTTCCACTTCGGCCCTGAAGGGTTTCAATCCACAATACACAATATCCTTTATTCGTTGTGGATAAATGACCTGTTAAATTATACATAGTCAACTTTTGCAGATAAAAGTAATTTCCAATAAAAGATCTTGGGCAAGTTATGACATTTTCCAGGTCAAAACATAAAACAGGAATTCCACTTTTCTTATCATTTTCTTTCTCCTTTCTCATAGCTTCTTTTTCTGCAATATGTTTTTCCATGGCAGCTTCTTCGGTGTTGCTTAGCCTGTTTTCCTTTTTCTTTAAATAATAAGTCGAGCAGGTCTCACAAACGTCCTTTTTAGGCTTATGGAAACTATAGTTAAAATTAGTACAGAAAATTTGCCTATACATTGAGACTTTAACCGGATTTTCTATGTTATTTTCTGCACAATATTTAAGATATAAATCATACATTTTTGGAATTGTTAATGTGGCTTCCAAATATTTTTTCTGACTATTCTGTCTGCAATAATGAGACTCGACCACGTTAAATTTTTTAATGTGATCAATAACGACCTGCCTTTTCTTGTTATCTAATTTTCTACTGCCGGTCTTTCCTCTCAGATCTTTTTTTGGAACGTCACTATCAGCAGAATGTACGGTATAAACTGGTTTTTGAGAAATATTTAGTGTTCCTAAAAAAAATTTTTTGCATACTTGTATTTTCTCTTCTTGAACCTTAAAAAAGTATTTAAATGAATAGGCACGACGAGACGCACCTTCCGTAGTTTTGCGCCCTTTAATAAACTTTTCTGTTACTTGCTTAAGAAACACGTACTTTTCATTTTGATTCAATTCATAGTAGTAATGAAACAAATTTTTTCTGGCATTCTCCCCAATTTTTTTACAGCATTGGAATTTGCAGTTATTTAGACAGTCTTTTTTATTCACTATCGTTTTAGCGCAAACATGCTTTCCTCTTGAGCTAATATATTCTTTACCTGCCTGGCAGAGGTTTTTTCGAATATTATTTTTCCATGTTTCTGGTTTACTTACTTTCTTTCTTACAAGTATTTTGTTCTCATGTTTTGACATATTTAGTTCATTTGGTTCTGAATTAGTTTTCGTGTGTTCTTTTTTTTCTTGTGTCTCTAAAACTTCTATAAAGTTTTCGGATATCTTATTTTGCCCAGTATTTTCATTTATTTCTAATTCATGAAGCTGAAAAATAAAAAAAAATGTGTTTTTTGAGTATTTAATATTATAGAATTTAATTACCTGCACTCCGTTAGTTTCAATAACGACTTCTTGGGCTACCTTTTCTATAGGAGCTTCAACACATTGGTCTGGAAGTTCAGAAATTGTCATGATTTCTGCTGATTCCAATAGGGCATTTTCTCCATAAACCTGAATTTCTAATTCGTTTAGCTAAAAAATAAAGAGGGGATGTTATTTTTGTGTTTGTTATTGCTTTAATTCATTTTATTACTTGAACTAGATTTTTTTCTACATCAATTTCTTGGGTCATGTCTTCTAAATGTGCCTTAGTAAAACACTGCTCTGAAAGATTGGAAACAATGAATGAAGAGGTGACGGTAGATTGGTCACAGTCCATAACTACTTCCGCGTTTTCTATCATATCTTCTATCGAATGAAAGGAGTTATTGTCGGCTACATTATCATTGGTAACGATTTCTGACAATTGAGATACAGTTAAAAGCTCACTTTTATTGCCATTTTCGGCCAACGGAATTCCGTTACATTTCTCATGAGCTTAAAATAATGAAACAAATATAACGAAAGCTTTCAAATTTTATAAAGCACTTATTAAATCATATTTTTAGGCTGTTATTACTTACCCATTTTTAATATTAATTTACTTCTATTCATGGTAATCTTATAATTTTGGTCGTCTTTATACACAACACAGATACACTAACTTTTAAGGTTATAAAACAAGCAGCCGTCAATACCGTATTACTATAACAACGTTCTAACTACTCTTTTCGGATAATATAGTTCTAAGTGTAGGCAGATACAACCATGTGAAATAAAAATAACAAATGTTTGTGGCTGATAGAACTCTGCGTTTATTCTAGTTTATCTTACGATTTTTAGATGTCGCTATATTTATTAAAAATAGGCAGAAAATAGCAGTTAGAACCCTATAATACTAAAACTTAGAATTTGAAAAAAGGTGTAGTTAGAACTTTGTTATTGTAAGTGGACGAACTGTCAATCTGAATTAACACCGTTGGAATTAGGTCATAAGGTCGGCTCGTTATGATACAGCGACGAAAATTGCAAAGCGTCTTTCTGAAAATAGTATCCAGTACAAAAACTAAAAATTGGAATATGTCAAGGTCATGTCCATGTCTTTTCGAAAAAGCGGTCTCGAGTGTAGATTCAAATAGATTCATTTATATTTCATTTCACTATTCCTAATGGTGATGACTGATGTTAAGTTATAGTTATACAGACTAATTAAAGTATTTAATATGTGAGAGCTTTGTTAAAATTTTAATTTCACAAATCGACTACGAATTTATGTCGTGAGTCGTTTGTGCAATTGACATATTCCTGAGCGAAGGCAACCAGAATAATTCTGGTTGCATATCGATCAGGTAGAACTTCGAAAACATGATTTCGAATTTTCTCGAGAATTCTAGTCAAATCTAGTACATAGTAGTATTTTGAACCCATTTGAACCTTCTAAATTTATTTAATTACAGAATAGGTATGAAATTGTCTCACATTTAGAATAAACTGGATTTAAAATCTTTGTTAATATTTTAGAAACGTTTATTATTAGATTTCAATATAGATTTTGGGTTATTTAGGTTTTAGAAGAAGGCTCTTCACCCTTGGATTTTTTTTTTTAATATTCATGAAATTATTTTAAAATTTGATTTCTATGTGAGATCGTGCAAGTTATAAAAACCTCTATAGGTATAGGAAGACTCAAAAGGTTAAAGATAGGTACCTTACCTAGTAGGTATATTTTGGGAAAGAAACTAAAATACCTATTACTTACTCATCCAAATTGGACAAATCGTCCAGTTTTATCTCCCATAATGCTCCCCAAACATTATGACCAACTTTGTGCTTAATATCTGCAGGACTGCCTCCCCAAAAAGATGCGTACCCACCAAATGTCAGACTATAATCCTAAAAAAAAGTTGTACAAAAATGAAAAAAAAAAAATAAAAAAGTAAATTAATAAATCTGTATCCACGTTAAGTGTTAAAATACCTATATAAAATTGGTAACTGATATTCAGGGCCGCCGAGAGCAATGGTAGGGCCCCGGGGCAAAACACTGGCACGGACCCCTTATTATAACTAGGGTTGGTAGGTTTACAAAAGCGGGACAACAGGGGATCAGGTTGAAAAATCAAGAATTTTTATAAAATCAGGTCACTTCTTGGTGATATTTCTAAAAAAAAGGTTCTCGGCTTGTATTTCGTAAACCAGGTCCTCCTTTTTGTAGGGAGCTTCTAAAAAAAAGGTCTTCAGCTTATATTTTTCGTAAACCAGGTCCAAGCTGAACGTCTGGCAACCCTAATTATAACCTATTTTTTTAAAGCTGCCGAACCCTCTTGTGCCAGGGCCCCGGGGATTTTGCCCCCTCTCGCCGGGCCTGCTGATATTATTTGGTTGAAAAGAACAGTAAAACTAGGTATTTAATGATTATTATTATCAGATATTGGCCCTTTATATTATTTGAATCAATAATAAATCGATGATTTTAACTTATTCTTTTACCTTTAGTATTGCTTTACCATATCTAACAGCATTTGGGTTTAGTAGATGCATTCTCTTGGCCAGTAAATTGCTACCGTAAGCAAAGTAACAAATACAATTAGATGACATGGTGTTTTCCGGTTTCTGAAGAAAAAAAAAACGTTTATTAGGTAGGTATAGGTACTTGACGAATGTCTGAATTAAGAAAACTAAACAAATTGGTAGGGTGCGATTACAATTAGAAGAATACAGCTACGTCATAACTTAGCGGAATAACTATTTGTTGGTTATCGCCGCCTACTGGTTGTTTTAGTGGTGATGTCATTTTGATTCCACTGACATTTAATTCTAACCAAACCTTTAACAAAAACATCAATAAATTTGACACATACGTTTTTACTGTTTTTAGTTTATTTACTTACTTTAGGAATATATTTATAAAAGTGAAAAAACAATATAATTTAGGTGAACAAAACGCACTCAAAAAATCTACTGTCACTTTAATTGTCAGTGGAACCACAATTACATCATCACTAAACTAGCGTATGTTGTCTACCGCCGCCTACTGGTTGTTTAATAGCGTGTTAATGTACTAGGAATATAATTATTATTCCTTTAAACCAATCAACTCACTTATTCCTTGTTTATTGATAGTAATATGTGACAGGTATATTTAAAATTCCAAATAATGGTTGTGGTGTTCTTATTGTAATTGGATTCTACATAGAACTATTTTAGTTTTCAAAATCTTATTTTGACTAACTTTACTTTTTTAAATAGGTTATTACCCTATTTTTAAAACATAAAGTTGATGGATATGTTTCAGTTAAATCACAGGGCATTGTCTCCACTTTTTTTATTAGATATTTGAAAATCGCTGATTTTAAGCTTATATGTTTTTGTTTTTGATCATTTCTACAGGATACACAATATATTATTTTAAAATATTTTGCATGAGGTAATTCATTTTTGATAGAACTGGGGTTACCAGACGTCCGGATTTGCCCGGACTGGTCCGTGTGTGTCCAGGCGGATTTTGCATAAGCGTCTGAATTTTAAAATAGTTGTCTTTATGTAGTAAAATTCCCTATACACTGTAGTGTAAAACCCGCCTAAGCGACAGAAGGAGTTGCTGAATTTCTTTTTTCAATATCGTCCCACAATGCCAATGTGGAAAGAAATGTACACTTATTGCAGTCCAGTGGACAAATTAAAGAAATACACTGCTTTTGGCCTCTGTAAAAGGAAATACTTATGGCTGCTTAGAATTAAAGATATGAGCGATTTTATGCTTTTACTAGAAAAGTAAAGTTATTAAATAATATACAGCGTAGTAAAAAGTACTTGCAAGGGTATTCTGTTCCTGTTTTTCAGTTTTAACTTATTTAACCTTGTAACTTTCTGTTGTTTATGAAATATATATTTTTTTCTATGAATATTTAATAATATACTTTCTACTGAATAATGAAAATACAGTAACAATTATTTTTGTAACAAATAAGTAAATGAAATAAAATATTGCATAACTCGTTTCTGTATATTATTTAATTTAATAATTACAGAAAAAGTATAGTATTCTACTCGCGGCTAATGGCTATTAACCGCTCGTTGAATAATGTACTATTCTTTTTTATTTTATTAGTAAAATTATGTCATTAAGTAAATAATATGAAAAATCCCATTTTAGCTTTTTCATAAGAAATTTTATAATGGATTTTTTTATAAACTTGTCCTGGATGGAGAAGATTTCATCTGGTAACCTTAGCTACAACTGTAAAAAGCGGCAACATAGCTTGGTTTGTTCAAAAGTCTCCAAACCAATTTTTTGATAGTTGGCTCTGGTAACCTGTCAATTACGTTTATAATTTATTTGTGAATTCTCATGAGATTTAAGTGTAAATTTCCAAATAAAAACGCCCCAAATTGTCTTTCTATATTAAAAATAACATATAATGTAACAATCAGATCCAAGTTAAAGAGGGATATGTATAATAAAAAGGTAAGATATTTTCCATGGTGGGCAAAAGCTTTGTTCTAATATTTTAGTTTTATAACTACCTAAATTACCTATACCAGCTATCTTTCCTCCTTGTCTATATATTCTTCTTTTTTAAATTGTATAATAAATTATAGTTTACAGTAAGTATCATAACATCATAATAAAGTTTTCTGTTGCTGCAAATTATCAGAAATTGTTTACCTTCCATGGAACATTATTTTATTTTTGTCCATTTTGTAGGTAGGTACCCTCAAATTAAAAACAAAATCAATTTTACAAACTATACATTCAAAAACTGATTTATTGTAAAAATATGTTCTTTGTAAAAACTGTATAAAGTGCGGCAACACAGCTTATCTTACCAATAAATTTTATGAATCTGTTATTTGGTAGTTGGCTATGCCTGTCATTTAATAATCGTGTAGCGTCTTTTTTTAATTTCTTTTCTGGTAGAGACGCCATTTAAGTTCAGTGTTAATTATAATAAAAAGGTGAGATATTTTATTTAAAAACTATATTATAATGTTTATTTCTTAAACGCGAATGAAATTGATAAAATAAATAAGTGCCTACCTACTTATATTTTGCATATTCTTAATATAAATCGGGAATCGGAAATTTTTGGTACCTAGCTATGCCTGTCATATTTGTGTCGTGATTTTTTTAATTTTATTTTTGGTAGAGACATCATTCAAGTTCAACTTAGTTATAATAAAAAGGTGACATATTTAATCTAAAAATTATATTCAAACTTTTATTTCTTAATTGCAAATGAAACTGATAAAATAAAGTGCTCGTATTTTGTATATAAGTAATGTAAATCAAAATGGTTAACAAAGATTTTTTGGTTTTTCTCCATTTGTAAATAATGAAAAATTTAAGATAGGTAGCTATTGGTAAACTCTTTGTTCCAAACATTACAGTTGACATTTTGTGTCTATTATACCTAATATATTGATTATAATTAACAGGTAATAGAGGTAGGTATGTTATAACAAAAAATGTTGATATAATTAAGATTTCCTTGTTTTTTATTTACCATTATGATTCAAAATAACCACATCCATAAGGACTCTCACGTTTTTATGAAAAATTTATATTTTTTGCTTGTATCTGGAACCAAAATGTATCGTTTTAGAAATAAAGATGTATATACAGGGTGTTACAAAAATATGTACAGTAAATTAAACCACAGGTTCTGAGGTCAAAAATAAGTCGATTTAAGCTAACTTGCTTACATGAAAAATGGATAGTAAAAAACTTACAGGGTGTTAGTTGAAATTTTAAAAGTGATTTTTTGCTCTTACTCTAAAACGACATATGTTTATGAAAATTTGCATGAAATTTAAGTATATAATGACCAATAAAATGGAGTTTAAAATTGTTTTATAGGTTTTTAGAAGGGTTCCACACTCCTTTGACCCCCTACTTTTTTAGACAATGAAATCCTACATCTGTTTTGAAATTTTGCCTCCTAGTATTTGTTAATGAAATCCTTAATTACCAAAGTTATAGGCCCCTGAAGGAAGGTCATAGTGAAAAATATTCACAATGAAACTTTTTGTGTGGGTTATTTGTTAACAATTTTTTTTAATATTTTATAACTTCATTTAAAAGGGTAAAAAAAATCGTGAACAAATATTCAGTAGATCAATAGGAAAATTTCATTGTATTTCTCACTATGACCTTCCTTCCAAGGGCGGCTCCAGGGGGGGACCACCCCCCGAGAAAAAAATTCTTACGATTTATGAGCCTTTTATTCAAAAAAATATTCTAAAAAGGGAATATCTAAAGCAGCGTTACTCAAAGTGTGGTCCTCGGAGCCCTGGGGCTATGCGAAGAAAATAATAAATAAGATAAAGCAGTATACCTATCGCTACAACGGGACTTGGCTTGAGGACCTTTTTTACTTTCCTATCTGTATACAGATATAAGGAAAGTATAGGAATCATGATTTTTTTCGACCTCGAGTTTTCGACGGATTTTTACGTTTTGAGGTCCCCTGAATCCGTTTTGACTATTTTCGCGATGATGTCTGTGTGTGTGTCGCATAACTCATGAACCGATACACAGAAAAACACCAAATTTAAAACTTAAGCTTTGTTCCAGCGTCCAATGTGCTGATTAGATTTTGGGCAGTGTCGGAACATCTGGGGGGGTACTTTATAGGTGGTCATTTTTATATTTTATGGAATATATCTGTTATTTACGTTTGGAGAAGAAAATTCTTCAAATAAAAGTTACTTCTTATATTATTATCTATCATTTTTGTTTTATACAAAATTTTCCTAAAATGGTCCGTATTCGAGAAATTTGACAAAATGTAAAAAAATATTTTTTTTATAAAAATTTTTCAAACAAAAGTTGTTTGTAATATAATTATCTATAATTTTTATCCTATACATAATTTCTCTAAAATGGACCGTATTCGAGATATTTGAGAAAATGTGTAAATTTCGAAATTTGAAGAAAACTCAAAAACGGATAAAGAAAAAAACATTAAATTTTAAACTTAAGTTTTATTTCGGCCTGACGTGAAATGATTAGATTTTGGAAAAAGTCGGAACATGTGGGGGGGGTACTTTATGGGGGGCCGTTTTTATATTTTATGGAATATATGTTATTTATGTTTGGAGAAAAAAATTGTTCAAATAGAAGTTATTTTTAATATTATCTACAATTTTTGCTTTATGTCAAAATTTCCTGAAATGGTCCATATTCGAGAAATTTGACAAAATGTGCAAAATTCTGATTTTTATGAAAATTGTTGAAATAATAGTTGTTTGCGATATCGATCTCTATAATTTTTGTTTATACATGATTTTTATAAAATGGACCGTAATGGAAAAATTGTAGGAAAAGTGCTAAATTTAAATTTTTCATTATTTTCATTTTTAATGAATATCTATAGAAAAATGTTTCGCGGTAGATGTATGTGGACAATGTATATATTTAGTTTATCTTCTAAACATTTATAGAGATGCTGCAATAGGTTGTACAAAATAACCGGAAAAAGCCTGTAATAACTAGATAGGAAAGTCATGTGTTGGACACATCAGATTTTTTAGAATTCAGTAAGGAGTATACGATTTTGGTATTTTGGTTGGAGGACCTTTTTTTAGAAGTCAGG